GGCACAATAAGAGGGTTTCATGAGACCAGTCGTCTCGTTGCCTCGTGGTTTTGAGGCAATGGTGTGGTAATAGTGAAGCTGTGGACTATATTTTTGTTCTTGGGGACCACTGGTGCTCCACAGACCACAGATTGGGAACCACTACTCTAAAATATAGCAGAAATACTTAAATTTAGTTGGTGGTATCCCATTCAATTACTAACCAGGGTTGACCCTGCTTAGCTTCCAAGATCATAGTTGTTCTGGTGGCTTTAGCATATTTATATAGATAAGTGTTCAGGGCCAGAATCTTAAAATGTTAAAGTTGTTCTTTTAGGGTTTCTGAAATATTTCCACTCGTGACTCCTTTCCCACCGATAAATTGTTACCAAATATATATGTAAATAAAATAGGTATAAAAATATCAACCACTTACTGATACTACTATGTAACAAAATTTGGGGGGGGGGGAATTAATTCCTGGTTTTAAAGTGTTATTTCCTGTTTCATTGTGTGGGACTTGCTTTGAAAGTAGTTGTTCTACTCTATTGTCAAAGGATTTCATGGCCGGAATCACTGGGTTGTTGTAGGTTTTTTCGGACTATATGGCCATGGTCTAGAAGCATTCTCTCCTGATGTTTCGCCTGCATCTATGGAAAGCATTCTCAGATGTACTACTTCTGAGGATGCTTGCCATAGATGCAGGCGAAACGTCAGGAGAGAATGCCTCTACACCATGGCCATATAGCCCGAAAAAACCTACAACCCAGTTCTACTTCAAAAACTTCATTTATGTGACTGCCACAAAATATGTCGAATTAGTTGAGACTCTGTGGAGATACTCACTGAAAAACTATAGCAAAATGTAATGCAGGATGTCACACAAAAACAAACTTTTTGGACCTCACTACCTCTGAGGATGCTTGCCATAGATGCAGGTGAAATGTCAGGAGAGAATGCCTCTAGACCATGGCCATATAGCCTGGAAAAAAACCTACAACAACCCAGTGATTCCGGCCATGAAAGCCTTCGACAATACATTATTTTTTTGCAGTTTAATAAACTTTTCCCTTGTTTTTATGATAGAACCAATTAGGAAATGACATTCATAACCCAGGAACAAGAATTGTGTTACATAGTGTAATAAATCAGCATTTGCAAAGGCTTGCTAAAGAGGCTGAATTTCCTTTTTATTAAGTACATACAGCTGTAAATGCTGGAGGGTTATTCAGATTTGCGTAAATGGATGGCATTCAAAAACCTTTCATTTCTGCCAAATTTTTTATGTGCCCCATTTTCTCTTATGGGACTCTTTGGGGTCAGGATCCATAGATTAGGAAGCAGTGCATTAGTAGAACCCTCCAGTAGAATTTTAGGTTTAAATTGGAATACCAATCTTACCTTAGAAGACTGGTGTTCCCAGTGTGGCAATGGGTTAAACCCTTATGCTGGCTGAACTGCTGAAAGGTCAGTGGTTCAAATCCGGAGAGCGGGGGTGAGCTCCTGTCTGACAGCTCCAGCTTCCCATGTAGGGACATAGGATGGTAAAACATCCAGCCATCCCCTGCGCAATGTCCTCACAGATGACCAATTCTCTCACACCAGAAGCGACTTGAAATTTCTCAAGTGGCTCCTGACATGAAAAAAAAAACCTACAATGAACTATAAACCCCAAATGTCAAGGGCTATTTTCCCCAAACTCCACCAGTGTTCACATTTGGGCATATTTGTGCCACGTTTCATGCAGATCCATCATTGTTTGACTCCACAGTTCTGTCTGGATTTAGGTGAACTACAACTCCAAAACTCAAGCTCAATACCCACCAAACCCTTCCCCTGTCCGAATTCCCATTCAGCCATGGAAACTCATTGGGTGACCTTTGGGTAAGTCACACTCTCCCAACCTCAGAAGAAGACAAGAGCAAACTCCCTGAACAAATCTTTCCAAGAAAACCTGAAGACAGGTTGGCCTTTGGGTGGAGATAAATCAGAAACGTCTTGAAGGTAACACAACAACAACAAGTAGGCAGAAGAGCTACTGTTCAAGAAAGACAAGCCCAAAGCCATTTGGAACACATGGAATTAGCCAAGCAGTTTGTTGAATCTTGGCTGCAACAGTCTTGAAAGAGTTGGATCCTACAAATGTGCCAAAGACGATGACTTCACCTTCCAATTATACAGGGTTAGTCAAAATGAATAGGCCAATAAGAAAATTAATTTTAGACGAATGTATGTTTATTGTAACCAAACTACAGCTACGTAGCGACAGATAAACTATCAAAGTTTTGTCTCACCTTCAGAGATGTTCGATATGGGCGCCCCGTGTGACACGGCAGATGTCCAAGCGATAGTCCAGTTCATTCCACATCCGTTGCAGCACATCCGACGTAATGGCATCGAATGCAGCAACGTCTGGGAAGGTGTTCGTTGAGGTCCTAACCCTAACCCTAACCCTAACCCTAACCCTAACCCTATCCCTATCCCTAACCCTAACCCTAACCCTAACCCTAACCCTAACCCTATCCCTAACCCTATCCCTAACCCTAACCCTAACCCTAACCCTATCCCTAACCCTAACCCTAACCCTACTAACCCTAACCCTAACCCTTGAAATTCTCGCTGGACCGTAATTACTGACATTGTTTTAGCAAATGTCATCACACAAAACGCCTTCTCTTTGCTTGATTCCGCCATTTTGAAAACAGCGACCCCTAGCGACGCCTAGCGGCATTAACGTACGTGTGTGTCCGTATCGAACATCTCTGAAGGTGAGACAAAACTTTGATAGTTTATCTGTCGCTACGTAGCTGTGGTTTGGTTACAGTAAACATACATTCGTCTAAAATTATTTTCTTATTGGCCTATTCATTTTGACTAACCCTGTACTCAGGAGGACATACATACCATGGCACCAAGTTCAGAAGTTTACTCCCAAGCAAAGATGGGCGTAACTGCAGCCTCGCTGAATTCAGTCCCACTGATCAAGAAAGCATGTTTTAACCTGGGGATTGGGACCAAGGGAGGGGAGTCATGAGGGGTTGTCAGAGGGGTCGCCAAAGACCATCAAAAAACACCATATTTTCTGTTGGTCATGGGAGTTCTGTGTGCCAAGTTTGGTTCAATTCCATTGATGATGGAGTTCAGAATGCTCTTTGATTGTAGCTAAACTATAAATCCCAGAACTACAACTCCCAATGTCAAGTCTATTTCCCTCAAACTCCACCAGTGTTCACATTTGGGTATATTGAGTATTCATGCCAAGTTTGGTCCAGATCTATCATTGTTTGAGTCCACAGTGCTCTCTGGATATAAGTGAACTACAACTCCAAAACTCAAGGTCAATGCCCACCAAACCCTTCCAGTATTTTCTGATGGTCATGGGAGTTCTGTGTGCCAAGTCTGGTTCAATTCCAACATTGGTGGAGTTCAGAATACTCTTTGATTGTAGGTGAACTATAAATCCCAGCAACTACAACTCCCAAATGTCAAAGTCTATTTTCCCCCAAACTCTACCAGTGTTCACATTTGGGCATATTTGTGCCAAGTTTGGTCCAGATCCATCCTGTGCTTTGTGGATGTAGGTGAACTACAACTCCAAAACTCATGCTAAATGCCCACCAACCCCTTCCAGGATTTTCTGTTGCTCGTGGGAATTCTGTGTGTTAAGTTTGGTTCAATTCCATTGTTGGTGGAGTTCAGAATGCTCTTTGATTGTAGCTGAACTATAAATTCCAGAACTATAAATCACAGCAACTTCTTTGTTTGTAGCTGAACAGCAAATACAACTCCCAAAAGTTAAAGATCTATTTTCCCCCAAACTCTACTAGTGTTCACATTTGGGCATATTTGTGCCAAGTTTGGTCCAGATCCATCATGTGCTGCCTGGATGTAGGTGAACTACAACTCCAAAACTCATGGGAGTTCTGTGTGTCAAGTTTGGTTCAGTTTTGGTTCATTGTTGGTGGAGTTCAGAATGCTCTTTGATTGTAGCTGAACTACAACTCCCAAAGGAAAAAATCAGTCCCATTCCCACAACCCCACCAATATTCAAATTTGGGCATATCGGGTATTTGTGCCAACTTTGGTGAAAAAAAATATATTCTGCATATCAGATATTTATATGATGATTCATAACAGTAGCGAAATTACAGTTACGAAGTAGGAATGAAAATAATGTTATGGTTGGGGGTGACCACAACATGAGGAACCGTATTAAGGGGTCGCTGCATTAGGAAGGTTGAGAAACACTGGATTAAGAGGAGTGTGCTTTATGTTCGCCCAATGCATCTGAGTAAGCAGATAAGAACCTCACTACCTCTGAGGATGCTTGCCATAGATGCAGGCAAAACGTCAGGAGAGGATGCCTCTAGACCATGGCCATATAGCCTGAAAAAACCTACAACAACCCAGATGAGAACTGTTCTCATATACACACAGGATCCCCCGGTGACGCAGTGGGTTAAACCCCTGTGCCGGCAGGACTGAAGACCAACAGGTCGCAGGTTCGAATCCAGGGAGAGCGCAGATGAGCTCCCTCTAACAGCTCTAGCTCCTCATGTGCGGGCATGAGAGAAGCCTCCCACAAGGATGGTAAAAACATCAAAACATTTGGGCATCCTCTGGGCAACATCCTTGCAGACGGCCAATTCTCTCACACCAGAAGTGACTTGCAGTTTCTCAAGTTGCTCCAGACACGACAAAAAAGTATACACACATTCCAGAAAAAAAGACCACATTGTAAACAGTGGAACTGAAAAAGGCATCCCATGCAAAGAGTTGAGAAGAGCATGAGTTTGGAACCCAATAATGGGAGATGGGAGTGAAGAGCAACCCAACAGATAGAGAGAAAGAGAAGGGACTCACAAGGCAAGTCACTCTTTCTCAGCTTCAAAGGAAGGCAATGGCACACAGAGCTTGCCAATCACTAAAATCCCTAGTCAGGGCAAGTGAAGTGGGGTCAAACTGGATGAATATAGTGTAAAATGTGCTCCAAGAGGAGAAGGAAAACAAGGCTGTCTCACCTGCTGGGGAAGAAGAAACCAGGGTCTCCTCCGGCTTCTTCCAGAGGCGTCTTGTGGGACTAATCCGGAGCAAGAAAGTGGATCTCAAAGCCAGCAAACGACCCCAAGCCCCTGCCAAGCTCTGCTTTCCCTGATCTCCAACTTTACAAAGAGGCTCAAACTGGGACTAGGAAGAGAGGGCGCAGACAGGTGTGTGTGAACCCTCTCTCTTTCTTTCCTCGCGACTTCAGCCCGGGATGGGGCTCCACCTCTCCGGCCCAGACGTCACTCAGAGCCCTCCCCTCCTCGCCCGACACTTAAAGGCGCAGGCAGGTTGGGACCAAAGTGGGATTTGCAGTTTTCTCAAGGGAGCCGAGGTCCAATCTCCAGCCAAGGCAACAAAGCACCTTCAGGACACAGCATATTATCTGAGAACACAGAACACTCTAACATCCACCATGTCAGGCTACATGGCCTTGCAGCTTCAAAGCCTGGCTCCTTCCTGCCTGGTGGAATCTTTTGTTGGGAGGTGTTAGCTGGCCCTGATTGTTTCCTGTTAGAGTAACCTGGACTCAGGATATTATTTGAGAACACAGAAATGTTGGACCACTCTAACATCCACCAGTTACATGGCCTTGCAGCTTCAATGCTTGGCTCCTTCCTGCCTAGTGGAATCCTTTGTTGGGAGGTGTTAACTGGCCCTGATTGTTTCCTGTTAGAGCAACCTGACTCAGTATATTATTTGAGAACACAGAAATGCTGGACCACTCTAACATCCACCATGTCAGGCTACATGGCCTTGCAGCTTCAAAGCCTGGCTCCTTCCTGCCTGGTGGAATCTTTTGTTGGGAGGTGTTAGCTGGCCCTTATTGTTTCCTGTTAGAGTAACCTGGACTCAGGATATTATTTGAGAACACAGAAATGTTGGACCACTCTAACATCCACCAGTTACATGGCCTTGCAGCTTCAAAGCTTGGCGCCTTCCTGCCTAGTGGAATCCTTTGTTGGGAGGTGTTAACTGGCCCTGATTGTTTCCTGTTAGAGCAACCTGACTCAGTATATTATTTGAGAACACAGAAATGCTGGACCACTCTAACATCCACCATGTCAGGCTACATGACCTGGCAGCTTCAAAGCCTGGCTCCTTCCTGCCTGGTGGAATCCTTTTTTGGGAGGTGTTAGCTGGCCCTGATTGTTTCCTGTTACACTGGACTCACTATGTTATTTGAGAACACAGAAATGCTGGACCACTCTAACATCCACCATGTCAGGCTGCATGGCCTTGCAGCTTCAAAGCCTGGCTCCTTCCTGCCTGGTGGAATCCTTTGTTGGGAGGTGTTAGCTGGCCCTGGTTGTTTCCTGTTAGAGTAACCTGGGCTCAGTATATTATTTGAGAACACAGAAATGCTGGACCACTCTAACATCCACCATGTCAGGCTACATGGCCTTGCAGCTTCAAAGCCTGGCTCCTTCCTGCCTGGTGGAATCCTTTGTTGGGAGGTGTTAGCTGGCCCTGGTTGTTTCCTGTTAGAGTAACCTGGGCTCAGTATATTATTTGAGAACACAGAAATGTTGGACCACTCTAACATCCACCATGTCAGACTACATGGCCTTGCAGCTTCAAAGCCTGGCTCTTTCCTGCCTGGTGGAATCCTTTGTTGGGAGGTACTAGCTGGCCCTGATTGTTTCCTGTTAGAGCAACCTGGATTCAGTATATTATTTGAGAACACAGAAATGCTGGACCACTCTAACATCCACCATGTCAGGCTACATGGCCTTGGAGCTTCAAAGCCTGGCTCCTTCCTGCCTGTTGGAATCCTTTGTTGGGAGATGCTAGCTGGCCCTGATTGTTTCCTGTTAGAGCAACCTGGATTCAGTATATTATTTGAGAATGCAGAAATGTTGGACCACTCTAACATTCACATTGCACAGACATATGAACCTCATTTTCCTAGTTTCCAACAAACCTCACAACCTCTCAGGATGCCTGCCATAGATACAGGCAAAATGTCAGGAAACAATGCTTCTGGAACATGGCCAGACAGCCTGGAAAACACACAACAGCCCAATGATTCAGGCCATGAAAGCCTTCTGAACAATACATAAAGCAGCTTCTCTCTGCTTTTGCAAGGAGTAACTAACTGGCATTTGCCATTTGCAAAGACTCTCACTATTATTTAACTGCCTCTTGGAGCCAGGGCTCACCCTCCGCTCTGCTCTCTTTTTCCTCCTCGCTAGAAGCAAGCGTAGTAGCTTCAATTCGCCTTGGGTATGTAGAATGTAGAATGGATGCAATTTGGCTCCACTTGAACTTCTATGGCTCAGTGCTATGAAGTCGTGGGAGTTGTAGTCTCTGCCCAAGAGGGCTGGTACCTCACCTAACCACAACTCCATTAAGCCTGTTAAAGTGGTGTCAAACTGTGTTCATTTTACAGTGTTGAACAGACAGCTGTTAGGAATTGTGGGAGTTGCAGTCCAAAACACCTGGAGGGCCCAAGTTTGCGCATACCTGGTGTAGAAGCATCCCCTAATCCTGTCTCACTAGGGGCCCTTCCGCACAGCCCTATATCCCAGAATATCAAGGCAGAAAATCCCACGATATCTGCTTTGAACTGGGTTATCTGAGTCCACACTCAGATAATGTGGGATTTCCTGCCTTGACATTCCGGGATATGGGGCTGTGTGGAAGGACCCTAAGTAGCTATTTTGAGAAGAGGCAGGAAAGAAATAAGATTCTTGTAGGTTTTTTCGGGCTATAGGGCCATGTTCTAGAGGCATTTCTCCTGCATCTATGGCAAGCATCCTCAGAGGTAGTGAGGTCTGTTGGAATTAGGACAATGGGTTTATATATCTGTGGAATGGCTGGGGTGGGGCAAAGAGCTCTTCTCTGCTGAAGCTAGGTGTGAATGTTTCAGCTGACCATCTTCATTAGCATTTGAAGGCTTGGCTGAGCCTGGGAAAATGTTCTGTTGAGAGGTGTTAAGATGTGCCTGGTTGTTTCCTCTCTGCTGTTTTGCTGTAGTAATTTTAGAGTTTTTTAATACTGGTAGCCAGATTTTGTTCATTTTCATGGTCTCCTCCTTTCTGTTGAAATTGTCCACATGCTTGTGGATTTCAATGGCTTCTCTGTGTAGTCTGACATGGTGGTTGTTGGAGTGGTCCAGCATTTCTGTGTTCTCAAATAATATGCTGTGTCCAGGCTGGTTCATCATGCACATGCTTCAACAGAAAGGAAGAGACCATGAAAATGAACAAAATCTGGCTACCAGTATTAAAAACTCTAAAATTACAACAGCAAAACAGCAGAGAGGAAACAACCAGGCACATCTTAACACCTCTCAACAGGGGATTTTCCCAGGCTCAGCCAGGCCTTCAAATGCTAATGAAGGTGGTCAGTTGAAACATTCACACCTAGCTCCAGCAGACAAGAGTTCTTTGTCCCACCCCAGTCATTCCACAGATATATAAACCCATTTTCCTAGTTCCAACAGACCTCACTACCTCTGAGGATGCTTGCCATAGATGCAGGCGAAACGTCAGGAGAATGCCTCTAGAACATGGCCCTATAGCCCGAAAAAACCTACAAGAACCTAGTGATTCCAGCCATGAAAGCCTTCGACAATACAAAGAAATAAGATATTACTATTATTTTTATTATTTTGCAGGAAAATACCATTGTCCCTCTGCACCTACAGATTCAATTGTCCCCCCCGTTTGTGTTTATAGATAGATAGAGATATATAGTCAACTTTTGCCATTTCATTCCACACTATTTTACAATCCTATTGTAAATTGCACTATGTAATAAAATATTTTTAAAAATCGGTTCCTAGTTTGAAAGCGTTATTTCATATTTTAATTGCATGGTCCTTATTTTGAAAGTAATTGTTCTACTCCAGAAACTTCATTTTTGTGGCTGTCACAAACTGTGTTGAATTGGTTGAGACTTGATGAGAGCAAACTAGAGCAAAATGTGCTGCAGGATGTCCTTCCCGCACAAAGTTTTTGTAGATTAATAAACTTTTTCCATGTTTATATGATAGAACCAAATAGGAAATGACATTTATAACACAGGAACAAAAATTGTGATGCATAGTGTATTTTTTTCTTTGTGTCAGGAGCGACTTGGGAAACTGCAAGTCACTTCTAGTGTGAGAGAATTGGCCATCTCCAAGTATGTTACCCAGGGGATGCTTGGATGTTTTGATGTTTTACCATCTTTTTGGGAGGGTTCTTTCATGTCCCCATATGGGGAGCCGGAGCTAAAAGAGGGAGCTCATCCACGCTCTCCCCAGATTCGAACCTGTGACCTGTCAGTCTTCAGTCCTGCCAGCACAAGGGTTTAACCCATTGTGCCACCGGAGGCTCCTGCCATAGTGTAATGAGACTTGAGCATCCACAGATTTTGGTATCCACCACTGAATATGCCCGGTAGCAGACTGGCAACTAGTGGAGCTGGCAAAACAGAGGAGTAGTGCTCCCTAAGTGCTGCTCCCATTAGCAACCTGGCTGCCACTCATTGGACCATTTGAAGCTTCTGGACAGTCTTCAAAGGCAACCCCACATAGAGAGCATTGCAATAGTCTATATGGGATGTAACCAGAAAGTGGCCAAGTTAGACTTCCCAAGGTACTGGCGCAGCTGGCACACAAGCTTTAATTGTGCAAATGCTCCCCTGGTCACCGCTGAGTAAGTGATTCATTTCTGCTGTAAATTCCAAGCAGAAAGACACACTGTCAGTCTACATGTATGGCTGTTTATGACCAAGTGTGACTGCTACTGAATGCATTGTGACACCAAGAGAGGCTGTCCCTAGGACTTGCGTTTTGGCCCCTGAACATCAGGGCCTGGAACAATCCTGGAAAAACAATCCTAGCACTGGCCACTATTTCATATTGCCTTTGGACAAGGATGGGGTTGAGGCTGAGGGAAAATGGGTATAAATTATTGTGCCAGGACATGACTCCATTGGTTATGGTTTACTCTGCATAGCCTCTAGTTGTTCCAACTTAGTAGGGAAAGTTGGGACTACTCTGCTGCTCCACTTTTTCATCTGTTTTCCTTCCTTTCTTCCTTTTCTCTCTGTCTTACTTCCTTTGCTGCAAAATGAGTTCAACTTGCAGCAGTAGCTTGCATTTAGTAGGGGGCTGAGTAAAGGAACCCTTCCAAGTTGTTAATATGGTTTGTGGTGTCCCCATGAATGGAAGACCTCCAAGGCTGTGTCTAGTCTACACTTTAGAATTAATGCAGTTTCACAC